AACCAATCCCCCTTCCCCATTTTCATCGTAGGTAGGCAGGGCAGTTTAATTAACACGTTGAGTATTAAGTATCTTTGTATTCCAATATATATATGAATTGGCTTGCTTTATTGCAAACAAACGTTTTAATCTTGAGTTCCCACTTTGGGACACACAACTAGGTCTGAATTAATTCATAGACCTAGACTTAAAACAAATCTGATTTTGGGTCCACAATATTTTGACAGAATTGATACACAGAGAGGACACTGTTGCCCTGTACTGCATAATAAAGCAATCGAGACTCGTCTCATCTTCATTATTTAAGATTAAGAAGTTTGATTCATCATCACTGCGAAAATAGAATGTTCAGTAATAGCGCTCGTTTCTTAAGCTTTTACCGTGCGTAGTTGAAGCCTATCTTTTTTTAGATCATTATCATCTAGATCCAAGCTTAAACAAGTCAGAACTTTCATGGAGTATGCTTTCCCCAAACGTAGTCTTAACCCAGTATAGTATATCAACATTGCTATTCACCTTTAGTGTTGCTATTCACCTTTAGTGATAAGTGAACAATTTTCTTCATTGGCTGATTGTACATAGTACATGAATTTTGACGAAGTCCCTCTCATCATTTTTAATGTACATACTGTGAATGGGTCATCAGTAAAAATACTTATCATTGAGCTTGGAAATGGAATAATTAGTGTTTTGAAAAGTCTTTAGCATTTTAACAAACATGTCTCACTTTGGTCTCGTGCTGTAACATACCATGCACATCCTGATGAAATGCCGCGTATTTCTACAGAAAAGTTCTGTTCATCAATAGTGTTGTTCATCTATAGAACTGGAACAATAATATGCTCTATTACAGGGTTCAGTGAGAAGGGCACGGTTTTTGATGGCGCCACAGACTGGCGGTTTATTTTTGCTTTCTTTAAACAGAAAAAAACAGACCAAAAAAAAGAAACATGTAAATGTGACTGCCTTTGCCTAACCTGAAATAAACACAGGTGTGGTATGTTATGTTAATAGATGTTAAAAGATTGTACTAACAATTGCCAGTTGTTGGGGGGGGTTTAAATTTTTTTTTTTTAACCAAAGAACATTCATTCTACAATTTTCCTCATAGGCCAAAAATAAAGAGAAACACAACAGTTATCAGGGGATTTTGACAACGTCTTCACTGTCACTATCCAGTTATTTTTAAAATTATTTTTTTTCTCTTTCCACCCACATCTACAAAACTAGCGATAGAGAACAGACACGCACTGAACATTTCAAAGTAGTAACGCGATGTTCGTTTGGTTTGGGTTTTATTTTTACTTGATCAATTTGCAGGTTCTTTTCATTTTCTCTTTTAATAGGCTTGGATATTGTCTTTCTTAAAGCGTATTCCCTGCCTGGTATTCATTTGAATGGTATGCCGTTAGCTGCGATATCTTTGAGTTCACGGTCACGCCAGCTCTAGCGTCGACTCCAGTTCTCTCTGTGTCGTTTACTCCTATCAATCCAACATACTCTACGTGATGGAAGGACCGTTTTGTGCAGCATCCAATGCACATATTATGATGGACAGAGCAGGTAGACTCAAGCTGTTCTTTAGAAAACGGTGATATAGAAGTAGGGATCAATAGGTGTTTCAAAAATTACCCAGAACTATGTGCGCAGTGTTCACTCTTCGCGTTCACGTGACTCGGGTATACATAAGCCCAACTCATTTATATATACACAATCTTGATTTACTCCGACACTTTGTCTCAGTAAGTATACGAAGGCCACATTTGGAAGAACAATCAAAGCTACAAATTCAACATTTTTCATTAATTACAATTCATTTGGTCTCGTTATTTGCCCTAAAAAAAAACCCAGCCTAAACCGAAGTTTAGCTCAGTCGTAACTTAGGCACTCTGTCCCAAAGAGGTATAAATAATGATATTATAAAGACGGTCAAAGTCCAGTTTCTTTAGAAGTTCTTCGAGATTGAGTTTTCTCTAAACTTAGAAATGTGACTTTGGTCTTTTTTTTTTTCCTTAGTGGTCTCCATTTCTTTTCTGCATTGCGTTGTTCGGCTACTTCCATAACTGCAGACTACCCGTTTTGACAAACCGTTTTGAATAAACGTGTGCTCTGTGTGTGATGTACTGTGAGTTATCGTCTCAGTTTGAAAATGTCTTATGGTACAGTGGTTTAGTGCTCTGTTCTGGACATCCCGACATAGCTACGGTCGTCTTGCACCAAGTCTATGATATACTCTGATGTTAAATCTTCATTTAAACAAATATCAGAGAATGCCTTATCAGCGGTTGTAGTGGCTGGTATTTATTATTGTAAGTTTTTTAAATTATTATTGTACTGTGTTTGTCGGCCCTCTCTGGACGATTTAGTTTATAAAGCTTGCAACTTTGAAAAGTCACGGTTCACATCAATTAATTCCACACCATGCTCAGTCCGTATCTCTGTGTGTTAAAAACAAGTTGCTTCAGTGGGTCTTACACGCATGAATATTACTACTCTACTAAT